TCCCTGAGGGGGGTAGCTACTATGGCTCCAAGAAAAAGGCGTTGTCAAGTACCCAACAACTGAACATGTAAAAGCATGGCCACGGTACTTTCTGGAAGAAGAATTTGAAGATCTGGTCATAAAGCACGACTATGATCCAGAAACGCCCCATAACTGTTTTGAACAGATGAAAATGGAAACAACACATTTGCCAACCGTGCATGAGGATCCACTAATAGATCCTGACCTCACCCTGTTTGTAGACGGCTCAAGGTATGCTGATGAAGAAGGAAAATATCACACAGGATATGCCGTCACCACAACAGATGAAATTATCAAGTCATCATCTCTACCATCAACAATGTCTGCACAGGAAGCTGAATTACAAGCCCTAACTTCAGCATGCAAGATATCTGAAGAAAAGCGTGCCAATATCTACACAGATTCAAGATATGCATTGGGCGTGGCTCATGACTTCGGATTAATTTGGAAAACAAGAGGATTTCTTACCACTGCCGGTACACCAGTCAAGCACAGTTCTACAATCAAGGAGCTGATAGATGCCCTCCTACTCCCAGAAGAAGTGGCCATTCTGAAGGTAAAGGCACATGGGAAGTTGGATTCGAATGAACCAAGGGGCAACCATCTGGCTGATCAAGTTGCAAAACAAGCTGCAAGAGAACTACAGGAAGTGGACAGAAGTGTGTCCGGAAACGAAGAAACTCCCACATTTACCTTGCAGACACTTCCAACTGATCTAAAAACCCTACGGGAACAACAGGCTGCAGTTGCTCCTGAAGAAATACAAAAATGGAAACAGAAAGGGGCAGTTCTGAAGGATGGAGTGTACTCCAACAACTTCAAGTTCTGCCTCCCTAAGAATTTGTACCCAGCAGTCGTACAATGGGCACACGGACCTGCACATTTATCAAAGGATCTAATGAATGCTCTTGTACAAAAATACTACCTCACTGTCCCCATATGAGATTCTATTTGGGACTGCACCTAGGCTAGGTTGCTATTTTCCCCAACAACTACAACTTCAAACTGATGTTTTAGTAGATTATGTAACTGAACTCGCAAATGCTTTAAACAAAATCCATGCCCAAGTTTTCTCTTCAATTCCAGATCCTGATTCTGACACAGGCAACCACAGTCTGCTCCCCGGTGACTGGGTTCTGGTCAAGAAATTTGTGCGAAAACACACCCTGGAACCAAGATTTGACGGACCGTTCCAAGTTCTCCTGATCTCCCCTACCTCTGTCAAATTGGCCGGAAGGCCTAACTGGATCCACGCTTCCCATTGCAAGAAGACACCTGCCCCAGAGGAAGCTAACTCTATGCAACCATGTGCCTCTGGTACATTATCTCCTTAGTTGGCCTCCTTAAAGCCCAGCAGGTGGCCATCACCAAAGATGCTAGTGGGTACACTTTCTGGTATAATTCATCATGTACCCACGTGGCTACATTCACCTTTGATTACTGTGATATTGTAGAATGCCCATTCCCTAAGTCACAGATTCAAGCCATTTATAAAGATATACCACAAGCAAAAGACCCTTACGTTTGTGTAGTAGATGAACAATGGGGTTATGACTGTAACTACTGGGGGGCTGCGGGATGGAATACTGGGCCTGCCTGGGGTTATAAACCCAAAAGTGCTTTATCTAAGATAGACAATCAGGGTAGATCCCTCCTTCAAAGAATGACTTTAAGAAAGCCTGGAGGAAGTACCCCTATGAAATTAATGTTAAATATTGAACATCCTGGCCCCGAGGATGCAGACCGATATGTAATGGGAATGTATTGGAAGAAAGGTTCCTACAACAAATTAGGTCATTTCTACCTCAGAGATATGTACCACTCTCCAGAGTGGCAAGGGGCTGATCATATGGTCCCAAATCCGCTAAAACCACATATCCAGTCCTTTAAAGATATGATGGCCATCGCTAACCCCACTTTTGAAGATACCATGGCCGCTGAAACTGGATTCAATGACATTAATTTGTGGTTAGAATGGATGAGGTATAATGCCAACAAACATAACAAAACCGCATGCTATGTGTGCGGTGGTGCTCGACCTCATCTTGGCACCGTTTCTCTAACTCTCCCTTTGGAGATAGAGAATTGCTTCCTTAGTCTTTTTGCCTACCGCTATAATTTCAACAGATCCCTCTGCGAAGCATGGATGGCAGAGTACCCCCCTCTTAATTGGAAATGCCAAACCCCCAGATGGAATCACGATTTACAAGGGTAATTACACTTGTTATGCTATCTATGACGGGATTGGTAAATTCATGGGTAACTTTTCCAATGGCTATTGTGCCACCTACAGAACTGTTCCTATATGCCTGTTGCAACACCATACCAGGTCATTGGGGGATATTTACTGGTTATGTGGGGATCTACAGTTAAGATCTAGGCTGGAAACTGAGTGGTGGGGTGAGTGTACCCTAGCCAAAGTTATCATGCCCATTCATATTATTTCTGATAATCATCATGACACATACGACCCTCCACATACACCAGCCAGAGTGAAGCGCGAAACCCCAGTAAAAGGCAGTTTTGACCCCCACATTTACATGGATGCCGTTGGGGTACCTAGGGGGGTGCCTAATGAATTTAAAGCTAGAGATGAAGTCGCTGTAGTTTTTGAATCACTTTTTACCATAGTCACTGCCAACAAAAACCTTAATTGGATTAACTACATTTATTACAACCAACAGCGTTTTGTCAACTACACCAGGGATGCCCTCCAGGGCCTGGCCGAGCAGTTGCAGGCTACATCCCAGATGACCTTCCAGAACAGAATGGCCTTAGACATGATTCTAGCTGAAAAGGGGGGTGTATGTAAAATACTACCTGACACCATGACTTGTTGCACTTATATCCCAGAAAACACAGGTCCTAATGGTAAAGTCACTCTGGCCATAGATAAATTAAATAGACTCTCAGAAGAGTTAAAGAGAAACTCTGGAGTTACTGATCCCTGGGAAAAATGGTTTGGTTGGATGACTGGTTGGCAGAGAGCTTTAGTCCAGATTGGTATTGCCTTACTAATTTTTCTTTTTATTTTCACTCTTCTCATTTGTTGTGTCCTCCCATGCTTTAGAAAATTCTTACAGAAGACTACAGACCAAGCGACACTAACTCTCACTCATCTGACAATCGATGATCAAGATCTCACCTCACCCTGTATTCCGCTACAAACTCTCCCTTATGCTGATGAAGTGCAGAAAGTCCAGGAAGGGACAGTACAGGGACAGCGTCCGTCTTTATGGGTAGACTGCCGTACGGAGAAGTAGTGGATAAGCCACTATGGGTTACCAGCGGAGTGAAGAGTGTTCCTGAACCGTACTGACGGATGTGCTGCAGCCTGTTAGGGTCAAGAGAGGGATAGACTTGCACTTTGCATTAACACTAAGTCAGCGGTCATGGGGTTTCTGTGTCTTTGGGCTAACACATCTTCTGATACTAACAAATGAAGTTTTGTCTTTTAGCAAATAACATTTTAAGGGGGGACTGTTGTAGAATTATTAGGCCTTTATAAATCTGTAAGGCCCCTTTAAATCCTCTTGCTATACCTGTAAGAGGCCCCATAGTTTTACAAGAAAGCTTTGTCTATAGAATATAGAATTTGCATGTCAGCAAGAAATATTATGCACCTGTAGTGTGAAACACTGTAGCATCCCACTTACAATGATAGCTTTGATAAAATGTGTATTTACTAAAAGCCTTGAAACCTAACCTTGAGAAACTAACAGTGCCAGGCTACACTCTAAATGGATAGCTGCCAAAAGGCCCCTCCCGTCGAGTGAGCTCCTCATGTTAACAAAATGGCGCTAAAACCTGGAGGAGACAATCATGACGAGGATAGTGACCTAAGATGGTACACCCCGTAGGGAGGGCATTTTACTAACTACTTAGCACCTAAGCCAATTAACAATGTCTATTTGTCTATATCTTGATTTTCTTCAATGATGTAATAATGCCTTTAAAAGGGCCTGCGAGCCTGCTTTTTAAACAGAAGCCATTAAACTTCTCCGAAGTTCTTTCATTAACCTGAACTCTGTGTCTCAGTGTGAATTTACTTCTGCGTGCACGCAACTTTATTATCTTTAATTTGGACAGGAACAGATAGTCATTCAAACGAATTGGTTTGCAGTAAATCATCTACTACATGTGTATGAGAATTCTTCTCGTGTTTTTGGTGTGTGTTTGGCCTAGTAACTGTGCCACGTGGTGCTGTTACTAAGGTAACTGGTGTGACTGTTGAAACTGTTTGTATATTTGTACTGCTTTGAATCAGACGCTCTGTTGAAATCATGGGTGCTTCTGATTCACAAACAGTCCTTTGTCTTGTATGTGTCAAAAAAAACAACAACTTTTCTAAGGAATATGTTGTAACACTGTCCCCCAAAAGATTAAAATACTCTGTTT